AAGAAGAACAACCACCACCACCACCACCACCACCACCACCAACGTTGCCTTTTCCTTCTCCTCTGTAGTACGTCGTCGACGTCGTCGTGTCTTCTCCTTTTCCCCTTCTTCTATTTCTACCCCTAACAGCAGACGCGGCACGCGGCGGAGTAGCGCGTGCTTCTCTTTCGACGTCACAAACGATCCGTCTTTCTTGTTCTTGTCGTCGTCGTCGTCGACCTCGTTGTCCTCGTCCTCGTCTTCGTTTTCGTCTTGGTGGTCTTCGTTGTCGTCGTTGTCTTCAACGTTTCCGTCGACGACGACGTCCTCGTCGTCGTCGTCGTCGTGGTGGTTGTTATACAGTCGTCGACGTTGAGGGTGGCGGCGGCGGTGGTGGTCCTCCGTGCACGTTGGAGGGGTGCTGCCGCGAACTCGGGGAGGGGTGCTTGCAACGGAGGGACGACGACTAGCCTCCGCGTTTTCTCCGTCCTCGGTGCCACTTCTGATAGTGGGACAGACTGCTTAGGGTATAGGAACGCGCAAAGAGCACGTGCACGCTTGCGCCCTCGACTTTCCCCCTCTCCACTCCTTTCCTCTTTCTCTTTCTCTTCTTCCCTCACCGAAACAACCAGCAGCAGACTTCTTCAACTATGTATGTATATGTATCTCTATCTTTTTCTCTTAACGATTATGTTGTGTTACCTGAAACAAAAGACAAGATCCTTGTTTGTTTTTTTTTCTTTTTTCAAAATCCTTTTTAATCAAAACCCTAACCCTTCCCATCCTTCGTCATCATTTATTACTAATAAATTTATTTCCATAGAATTTTAAATGTCGTACGCAAATAAGAATCGTTGAAAGAAAGAAAATGGGATATAATCAAGGAATGCCTTTTTCTTTTATCCAAATAAGAGGGGAGAGGGAGAATAAAAGAAACAAAGAGAAAGAGAGAGAGAGAGAGAGAAACAGGGTTTATAGGGGCGGGCGGATTCGTGCGTTCTACGAGCCACGAGTCGAAATAAAAAGAAGAGGGTGGGTGGTGAGGACCAAAAAGGAAAAGGTGTAGAGGAGGAAACAGAAGAGGTGGAGGTGGAGGAGTTGGAAGAAGTGGAAGGAGGAAGGTAGAGAGAGGTGTGGGCTCGCACACGGCACATCGAGGAAAAGAGAGAGGAGGCCGAGTGCGCCTAATATGCAACAAGAGAAAAAGAATTGGCGATCAATAGGTAGTAGCTGGTAAGCGTCCTTTCATCCACCCCCGCGAACACCCTCGTCCTTTCCACTTGCCCTACCCCTTCTCTTTCTCTTTCTCTCTCTTTCTCTTGCACACCCACCAACTCCTTCTTTCTCCTTCTCTCTCTCTCTCTCTGTCGCCTCTTCGGCGACTCTGTCTCGTAAATGTGTGTATGTATGTATGTAAGTGTATGATGTGTGCGCGCGCGCGCGACCACTGTTGCTTCTGCGTTTTCCTTCTCGTCTTTGCTCTCCTTTCAATCGTATCTTCTAATTTGCCCTACTCGAATTTTAGCCGTTCGAAAGACGGAGATAGGGAAAGAAAGAGGGTGTTAAAAGTCAACCCTTAAATCCTATCGAGAACTTTCTTTATCTTCAAATATATATCTCATCGATTCGATACGACGTCGTCAGGAATGTGGGTTAACGTGTTACGAAGATTAGAATAGTTAGGACACGTGATTCAACTATTTGTTACTCGATGGTAGCTGCTACCTCTACTTCCTTTTAAAAGTAATTTTCTTAAGTTCGAATAAAACCAAGTCGGTCGACGCCTTCCGTTAGGTCAATGAACTTCACTCACTCTCTCTCTCTCTCTCTCTCTCTCTCTCTCTCTTTCTTTCTTTCTTTCTTTCTCTCTCTTGCTCTCTTTTTTTGTGCCAACTGGAAAGAGAATTTGAGTGCCATTATTTTCGACGTTGGCTCTAAAAGAGACAAAAAAGAAGAAGACTTTGAGAATGGCCAATAGGTAGAAGAGAACAGTGGACTGAGAGAGAGAGACCTTGTATCGGCTTAACTCGTGCAAATATTTACCCGATGCAAAATAGAAAATTCGCATTTCAACATATTCTTCTCCCTTTTCGGATTATAGGCTGCTATCGTCGATCGTTTTAAATATCCTTTTTTAAAATAATTTCAATATATTTGTTTAATATATTCCTCTTCCGAATCATTGTCTTTTTTGAAGTAACTAATTAAATCGAAAATACCTTATTAATATTTACTACCCTTCTCTTTCTTTTTTCACATATATTTAGTATGTAAAAAAAAGAGGGAACTTTGGAAAAAAACATCTTATTTGATAATATTTGTACATATATATTCAATGTATTCTTCTTTCAAATCATTGTTTTCTTTTTTTTTTTTGGGTAATTAATTAAATCGAAAATATCTTATTAATAATTACAACCCTTCTCTTTCTTTTTTCCATATATCGAATATGTAAAAAAAAAAGAAAAGAAAGAGAGAACGTTGGAAAAAAGCATCTTATTTGATAATATTTGCATACATATATATATATATATATATATATATATATATATATATATATATATATTTTGGTAGGGATGGTGAAAAGGACGTTATCCGTCGTGGGTAAGTATCGTGAAAGGCACAGAGCGAGCGACAGCTGCAGACACGAGCGTGCCTTTCTAGGTGCGCTCGGTGTAACTCGACAGAGTTCTACTGCTGCATTCACCACGAGGCGCATGCATATGTGATGGAAGAGAGGAGCCGCCAACGACTACGACAACTACGACGACGACGACGACGACGACGACGACGACGACGACGACGACGACGACGACGACGAC